CGAGTATCGGGAAATCATGATAGCATAACATTCTACCATCATGTGACAAGCAACCTTGTTACATAGGCAAATCCCTACGCTTTAATCATCCATGACCCTTCATAGGGGCATCAATCAAAAGCACATGAGTCTGCATAAATCATTGTCATGTATTCATTAGGTTACTTCGATCCAGAATTAAGCTATGCTTATCATCTCATCCGGCTAACAACTTCCGACAACATGGATCTCAAAAAGCTCAATTACGCATTCGCATTTCAAAACCCAACATCTATTGACACATATCCAAGTCCCCCATTAAATGCATTGGTTAGTCATTCTATGCATTAACGCCTGTATCTGAATACATACATGACATATCATAGACCGAGACTTAGGACCCCATAAAAATCTAGAGTCAATTTCTAGGGGAATCACTATTACAATCTCTAAACATCTCTCAGACTACCCCTCTCAGTGAGTCTAAGATACAAGCATTCTTCGTCAAACTAAGGCGTGAGCAGTCTCACACGACCTCATTTCTTTGTTCATACATAAGCAACCTTAAGTAAAAGTCGTGAGCAACCTCACGCTTTCCGAACACCTGATCGACGTCTTCTGGTGACCCTACCGATATTAGCGACCTTGTTGTCCCTCTCACCTTCCAAAGTTGATACTATTCCAGTTTTCCTACTAACGTTGGTGCAAATCCCAGTTCCCATCTGCCACATCTTTTCAAAAGCCCAACCCCTAATTGACATGGCTTCTCAGAAAAAATAGTTCTTGGCTGATAGCCTGCCTTAAGCATTGACTCTGCAGTTCAAAGAACAGGGGCATTGAATTTATTAAATCATTGCATCATTTCAATTCATAACATTATCATATCAAGCATACATACCATACATCATGCATACATCAAGCATTATCATATCAAACATGCATACATGCATTACATTCAATCATATATGCCCATGAAAAACTGCAGAAAAATCTCAAGGCATGACTACCAGCTAAGACAAACTCAAATTCAAATCCAAGATCAACATTATCCATTCATCATGCTATAGCTACTTCGGTTGAGAACGAATACAACCATAAAAGGTACCACTATCAAAATTTCACTAGGCAGCTTACCTACGATTCATATCCGAGGCCTAGTCATCACCAGCCTCCGAGAATTACACTTGCAATTATTAAATTCAAACTTTTCAAGTTCGAACATCTCAAAACATTCAATTTCATTTGTTAATAAAGCCTTGGTTGAAAACAGACACAACCGGGAAAACTTCAATCTTATACATTAGTTGAGAACAGACACAACTAGTATAACTTTGATCTTATTCAGCAAACACCTTGGTTGAGAACAAACACAACCAGAAAAACTTTGATCTTATACCTTAGTTGAGAACAGACACAACTGTTATAACTTCGATCTTATTCAACAAACACCTTGGTTGAGAACAGACACAACCGGTAAAACTTAGATCTTATACATTAGTTGAGAATAGACACAATTGGTATAACTTGGATCTTATTCAGCAAACACCTTGGTTGAGAACATACACAATCGGTAAAACTTTGATCTTATACCTTAGTTAAGAACAGACACAACTGGTATAACTTCGATCTTATTCAGCAAACACCTTGGTTGAGAACATACACAACCGATAAAACTTCGATCTTATACCTTAGTTGAGAACAGACACAACTAGTATAACTTCGATCTTATTCAGCAAACACCTTGGTTGAGGATAAACACAATCGGTATAACTTCGATCTTATACCTTAGTTGAGAACAGACACAACTGGTATAACTTCGATCTTATTCAGCAAACTCCTTGGTTGAGAACCAACACAACCGGTAAAACTTTGATCTTATACCTTAGTTGAGAACAGACACAACTAGTATAACTTCAATCTTATTCAGCAAACACCTTGGTTGAGGACAGACACGATCGAAAAAACTTTGGCCTTATACCTTAGTTGAGAACAGAAACAACTGGTATAACTTTGATCTTATTTAGAAAATGCTTTGGTTGAGAACAAACACAGCCGATAAAACTTCGATCTTATACCTTAGTTGAGAACAAACACAACTGGTATAACTTTAGTCTTATTCAGCAAACGCATTGGTTGAGGACTAATGCAACTGGCGCCATCAGTGAATTTGGGGTTTATTTATTCCTATCGATATTCATGGTTGAGGATGACACAACCGACACCATCAGTGAATTTTGGGGTTTATTTCTTCATGTTGATAGTCATGGTTGAGGACGACACAACTGACATCATCGATGAATTTGGGGTCTATTTTCTTCATGTTGATAGTCATGGTTGAGGACGACACAACCGACATCAGTGAATTTTAGGTTTATTTCTTCATGTTGATAGTCATGGTTGAGGATGACACAATCAACATCATCGATTAATTTGGGGTTCATTTCTTCATGTTGATAGTCATGGTTGAGGACAACACAACCGACATCATCAATGGATTTAGGGTTTATTTTTTCATGTTGATAGTCATGGTTGAGGACGACACAACCAACATCATCGATGAATTTGAAGTTTATTTTCTTCATGTTGATAGTCGTGGTTGAGGATGACACAACCGACATCAGTGAATTTTGGGGTTTATTTCTTCATGATGTTAGTCATGGTTGAGGACGACACAACCGACATCATCGATGAATCTGGGGTTCATTTCTTCATGTTTATAGTCATGGTTGAGGGCGACACAACCGACATCATCGATGAATTTAGGGTTTATTTATTCCTGTTGATAGTCATGGTTGAGGGCGACACAACTGACACCATCAGGAAATTTTGGGTTTCATCACTTCAAATCTAGCATATTTCATTTGGTTATCAAGTCTTGGTTAAGGGCTGACACAACCGACACCGTCTTTCCAAGTTCCAAATATCTGGTTTCAAGCTTGTATTATCTATCCTCTAGGTTATAGTAGGTATACAAAAAAATATTTGGCTCATTGTGTAAGTCTCTAAGCAATAATGTATTACCAAGCTTTATGTTATTCACCCCCTAGGTTTTGATGCACATACAAAATCTACGTCTCAAACTTACTATATTAGTCTCCAAGCATTAGTAAGTCAACCTTTTTAAAACTTGTATATTTGGAAATATATGCAAAAGAATAAGCAAACTCTTATATACTGATGAGTTATCCGCATCGTCATGTCTAAGTTCTATAAAAAACTTTGGTTCAAATGCTGGTAAGGTGATACATCATCATCTATGCCTACTCTTTATACCCATGAGAACATTGTACAATGTATCCTTATAATCTTTCAGACAAATTTTGGGGTCTTATAATATTTAATAAACTTTTGATCAGAAAATGTGAGACCTGCGTATTCTCGCATTATTCAATCGAAAGTAATTAAATAGGGGCAACTGCCATACCCCAAATTTGCTTGCCCTTTATTTCTACGGTCAAAAATAATCTTAAACATTGGTTTTATAAATATTTCTTGATTTTTATAAATATTCGCTTCCAAAGATATTTAAAAATATAATAATTTATTTCAAGATTATTTGTATTTTTGAATAAACAAATACTTGCTCATCTTCATGTACTTTAAATTGGCTTTTTATTTCAAATAAGTAACATAGTACAGTTGGTAAGGAATAGAGCTCTCAAGTATGAGGTTGCGGGTTCGAATCTCGTGTGTGGCACTTTTAAACATTTTTTTTTATACTAATTTTATTCCCTTTTAGGGAGATCAAACTATGGGATTCCTTTTGGGATTTTGGATAACTTAGTCTCTAAGTTTTTTCTAACCTAATTCAAGTCTATAAATAGACCTTAGTCTGTCCTAGTTTTCCATTCACAATTTTCACAGATCCAAAGACACACAATTTCTCACGATCCACAATATTCACAATTTCTCTGCACACACTATCAACCATTTTTAAAACTTTTTTTCACACACTTGTTTTCAAAACTTCTTTTCAAAATTATTTGCAACTTATTTATCTTGGTCAATGATTAAAATATGAGGCAACTCCATTTTATTTTTCAATCTTTATCCGTTTTAAATTCGTTAGCTATTTTTACAAAATTATGATTCTTTGATGGTTCTTCGATTTTATTCACTATACTCTTTGTGAAAAATGATCATTTTAATTTATTTGTTCATATATCATATTTGACATTTCCGATCATTAACTATTCTATTTTTCCTCATCTAACAGTTTATAGTATTGATTATTACTAAATTGTTTTTTCCTTACATTCTCATGTTTCGCCTGTAAATTACTTCGTACTAAATAACAACTCTATTTAGTAATATCTTACTAATTTGTAATATTCTTTTTACCATTTCAAAACCAAAACAAAACATTCTTTATAACAAGTAGAGATCTCTGTTAGTGTTTATAGTGAAATGCTCTTTTGGGAGAGTCAAGGGTACTTAAAGTTCATGTACATATTTCTTCAAATACTGCTACACTCCAAATCAATTCACCCACTCTATTCAGTGTACATATTCATAATTTATGATACTTTTTTCTCTTATTAAAAACCTTGTTAAAAAAAAACAAAGCCATGCTTTCACAAACAATTCCACACAGTGTACATACACAACATGACAATCCCACACTGTTTGAATGAATAATTACACAATAATAATAAGGTTTCATTTTTTCCTTTCTTTCTAATGACAACAACAAAAATAAGGTCCGTCGTTGAGATCTTAGACAACCGCCTTTCACCTCCACTAGTAGTTACGATTCAGATGCCACCTGAAGGTGCTCCGCATGCACACTTTCGTCACTCTATACCACCACCTTCTGACCATACTTTCATTCACGAACATTGATGTAGGTTCACAACAGAGGCATAATGGCAGAGATCTAAAAATAGAGACAAAATTAAAATGAGAATAGTAGTAGCAAATCAAAATAGAGGAGAAAAGAGTTCTAACCTACATCCAAGAAACAACTCCTTTGAAGCCAGCTTGCACAGGATCTGGTCACGCACACAGCAACGACAACACCTCTATATCACAACACCACAAGCTTCCTCGACCCTGCACAAGCACCACTCGCGAAACAAGATAATGCCACCCATGCGCCTCCGATCAAACACAACGCCTATTCCACAAGTTCGTAGCTTACCGCCCAAAAGCCTACAACTACACCGACGACCGCTTCCGGCGCCAATCTCGCCCCTGACCGGAGACCCACCGCTATGTTGCCGCATTGCCAAATGCGAATCCGATAGGTTAATTTTTTTTGTTCCTTGATTTCTCACTATTTTTGGTTTGGTGATGATTTTGATGAAAATATATGGGTTTTTCTTCTGCTTATTGTTTTTGGAGAAATTGGAAGAAAGGGTCTTTTATGGAAAAATTGAAGGAAATAAGAGGTGGTACTGGGCCCTCTTTGCGTGCGTGTTGTCTATATATTATTGTGTTTTTTTTTTGTTTTTTTTTGTAATCAAATAAGGACACATGTCTTGTTCCCATTGGAGCTTAATATAGATTGAAAAGTTCACCAAATTTAGTGTTGATGGTGTATAAGCGGATGCCGCCCCTATTTCTTCCAGGTATCTCTATCTTCATTTTATTCTTCTCTTACTATAAGAATTGGGTTTCGAAATCTTGTTGGGCTTGGACCCTTGTTGTATATCTTGCATCTTTGTTTATGATTTACACCTCTATTTTTTCCTAACTTAGTTAATATATTTAGTTAGTACTTAGTTTATTATATGATTAATCAATAAAAACAAAAATACAAAAGAATATGCCTTTATGTATTTAATTAGAAAAATCATAACTTAGGATATATCATAAGTTTTTCCCGATTAATCTAAGCATTCTATAAATAATAGAATATCCATCTTCGAGTAATTGAATTGGTCGACACATAGTCTACCGGTTTATTATTCAAAATTAAACAATTTAAATCCATGCAACTCACCCAATTCACCATATGCGAATTACATGTGGCCAATATCTGGCCACGTGATGAGGAGACTATATCAGACTCCCTCGCTCTACGTCTTAATACAGCTAACCAACATCAAAACATTTTTCTACTAACATGACAAAAACTACAAGAATATTTTTGAAAAAGGATTAAATAGAATTACTTTCAAAATTAACTGTGAACTACGTCTACAATCACTCACTTTTCAAGCCCAGACAAGGTTCAAGGTTAATCCGAAAGCAATTCTACACAATCTCATAAAAAACACCAACCAACCACCGCAAACTACGAAATAGGACTCTGATTCCTCCTAAGAGAATATGTAGGCATACAATCAAAATCGTGGTGAGTTCCCCCTAATAAAACATTAAAACCCTTTTTCCTAAAAAATGCGCTTCTTAACCTAGTATCCTTGTGAACAAGGTAGATGAGGGGGTGCCTAACACCTTCCCTTCGTCTAGAACCGAGTAAAACCTAGAATCTCTAACTTTTTAGGGTTATCCTTTATATTCTCTTCCTTAGGATAAAAGTTAAGGGTGGTGACTCTGTATTTAAAACCAGTTACAACATCGTGCTACTAGCTCGATAACATAAAAATTGTATTCAAATTATCTGCACTTTTTTTATATCTTAACAAAATGTTTTTCATTATGAACGTTTGTTACTATATACCAAACACAAACAAGACATAAAATGCCATCACGACTAAAACAACAACACAAACACCAGATAAACCAACAACGCATACACCACATAAAAATAACAACAACAAAACAACAACATATCTAAGAAATTACAACTATCAAAACAATTTTGTAATACCCGTTATACTTATTCCATAATACTTAATACTAAATTAATTAGTGATGAATATTAGAGGGATAATCATACCAGTCATATTTTGGTATATAAAGTAATATAAAGAGCAAGTAAGTGACTTAAGGGTATTATGGTACATTGACCCATTAAATTAGAATAAGGTCATGTTTGGCATTATCTCATTATTCTCATTTGGAACAAAAACAGAATTGTAGAAGGAGAAATGGAGAAACGTGAAAAAAGAGAAAGAATGAGGAAGACCCAATTTGTTCAAGCTTCATCTCTTGCATGCAACTCAAGAATAGCCATTATCATCATCTTTGCTTCTGATTTTCGCAACTCTCTTATCCTCTAATTAAGTCGAGTCTCTTAGATAGAGAACTTGGGGATTTCATGGAATAGTATGAAATTGGGATTTAGGGTTTAAGTGAGAAACTCTTGTTGCATGTTGTTCTAATTGATGTTTGGCATGTAAATAACCTATATTTTGTGTTCGTATGTTATGGGTAACTGGAATGGAGGGTGAAATTAGGGGTTTTTGGGACCCAAGGCAGAATCGATGTCGTTCTGGTTTTTCTGCAAATCGCTGACCATACTTAGCGCTCCCTCCTGGGACTGGAAATTAGGAATTTCGCAGACCGCGCTTAGCACACCCACCTGGAACTTGAAATTCTTTATTTCGCAGAGCGCGCTTAGCGTGGGAGGCTCCGCTCAGCGTACTCTCCTAGATAGAATTGTATTAATTAATTCCTTTGGGTGTAGCTCCATACCATGGTGAGTACTAGACGCCTCTTTAGCATGTTGTGACTTGTTAAGTTGTGTTATGGAATATGTAATGCATGTGTGAACGCATGATTAGTAACATCACTAATATGATTGATTAATGTATGATTATGTTGCAATACATTATATGTGGAATGCCATGAATTATTCATTGTATGAATGCACATAACTTGTAAATGAACATGTTGGAATATGTATTATGTGATAGTATGGAGTAATGTGATCACTTGTTATTTTTTTCGTTTGTTCTGGTTGGACATTCGGTGTTATTTGTCATATGGTTGATGTTTGTACATATGCATGAACCGAAGTAGACCTGTGCTACTAGATAGTAAATCCCTTATGGCAGGTACACTCGTTGCAATGATGCAAGTATGGTTCTATATGGCATTTTTCCCACTTGGTTACTCATCGGCGTTCACGACATGTCATACACATCTGAGCTACCAAAGGTGATGTGTGTAACATACCAATTTTTATTAGCTATTTTATTAGTTGTTTATTTATTTAATTATTATGTGGCATGATAATTATTTAATTATTTGAATATATGTGTTATTTGAATAGTTGAGCTATTAGGTGTATTAATGAATGGAATAACTAGTTGGGCCTAATTATGAGAATAGAAGTAATAAGGGGATATGAGTTGCTAAGTCCAATAAGAGAAACAATAGTTAGTAAGAGTTATGTAAAAACATAGATTAGAATCCTTATTTTTATGAAAAGAAGAGAAGAGATGAAAAGAGGAAAATAGGAGAAAGAAGAGAAGAAGGAGAAAGAACCCTAAGGTGGCTACAATCAAGGTAAGGGTGAGAATCTATGTTATTATGGGAGTATATGGTGAGTAGTAACATGAACTAGGATTGGATATTTCAATTTCTAGCTTTTTGATTCACTTAGGTTGAAATTAGAATCCCAAATTGATGATTGGAAATCATGTTTTTGTGATACAAATAGATGCTATATGATAGATACATGCTAGAATATATTTTTTGGTGAAAAATAGACAATAGAACATGGATTAAGTTAGATTTTCATGTTTGGACAGAAGCAGTTCGCAACAAATTTTTCTAGTTTTCGCAGGGGCCGCTTAGCGCGGGTGGGGCCGCTTAGCGCGGTTTCTTGGGATCCAAATATCTTGTTATGCATGATTGGTTTAGGGGTTTGCATGCTTATGAATTATTATTAGTTTACATGAATTTTAATAATTTATTAAATGTGTTTTGGATTAGTTTTGAAAGAATTTTGATGAGAAATATAAAACTTGAGTTGTGTATGTAAGTGTTGGAATTTGATGATATTTGAGTATAGCATGATTTGTATAAAATTGCTACATGTTATAATGATGTGTTGAAATGATTTATACTATGAGATTGTGTATATGTGATTGATTGGCATGAAAGATGTATGTTGTGCAATGTTGTGAAGATAATTCAAAATATGTTGAATTATGTGATGAGTTGTTGTAAAGAGTTGTTGAGATTGCACATGTACATGCATCATTTGTGTCAAGAGGCAAGGTTTGGTAATTTTATGGGAACTATTGACTTGTCCCAAACCTAACGTTGAATGGGGTTTGAAAGCTTAAGGCTGAATCAGGCTTTTATTGGTGGTTATTTGTCTTGGAGATGTGGACCCGGAAGGACCGGTAAGGATAACATTGGTACCACATGCATAATGCATTTGAGTTACATTGGAGTCACATGTGTCAATGTGAATTGTTGAATTATTACTCATTATGTAATAATAGTGTGAATGTGGTATTTTGATGTGCAACATGTGATAATTGATATAATTGTACAATTGTGGTAATTGGAATTGAATTTCATTTGGAATATGAATTGATGAGTTATGTTGTATACGTGGATTGATATATTGGATTATGTTATGCCTAATACGTGGTTTCATGAAGAGTGATGAATTCATATTCGTGTATGTATGTTTTACATTGCTTATGATTATATATTTTCATAATGATATGAGTTCTCACTCTTCTATTGGAATGATGTTTTATACAATATCGCTCAGGTACCGAAGATAGCGGTGCTTCTTGCCAGGATTAGAGGAGGAGCTAGATCCTTATTTATCTGTTTATTCCTAGGTAGTGAGTCATTTCTCTGGTCTATGTAACTGTTGTACCCCAAAATTTTCCCTTTCATTTCTCAAGGATTCTCTCACAATGGTTTCTATGACATCAAGTTTGCAGTACTGACACATCAATTTAGACTTGGAATTGGCACAAGGGCAAAATGGTCATTTGCATACTGAAAAGTCAAACTTTGACTTTTGATCAAAATCAAATTTCAAGAATCATATTTCATCAAGACATGTTGTAATGTGAAATTTGTTTCATCAAGATTTTCAAAAGTCAAATTTACTTTGGAAAAGTCAAATTTCTAAATACTTAGAATTTTTCTGTGTTTAAGAAATATGACAAGCTCATAACTTCTGATCAGATTATCACCATGATGCAAGCTAATTCTGGAAGAACTTCTAACACAAGAGTTTTAGATCCCAATAAGACCTAAAATATTGCAGAACAGAACTTCTCCTGAAAATGCTGGAATTTCAAGTTATAAAGGTTCAAAGACACGTCCATGAAACTGAAGCACTCAGCAAATTCTGGACATTTTCAAGACAGAGTTTTGGTTAGAACTTCTGGGCCAGTTT